GAAGAATGTTGTTATTACATCAATGAATCAGGCTTAGTCGAAACTAACGTCATCAAACTCATTGATCTGGCCTCTAGCTTCCAGGCCATGTCCAATTCTAACTCCTTTTCTTCCTTTTTCCACAATCCTCTCGTACCAACCCTAACACTCCCTTAAAAGCCAAACCGTATCCCTCACATCAAGCTAGGGGTAATATCCCTGCCATAGACTGGCAGATCGATTTCACCCACATGCCTCCTGTTAAACGTCAGCAATACCTCCTAGCATTGGTAGACACCTTTTCCCGGTGGATAGAGGCCTTCCCCACCACTAACAAGAGGGCCACCACTGTGGCTTCCATACTCCTCTCCCAGATTATCCCAAGGTTTGGAATGCCCTCTTCCATACAAACGGACAACGGCCCAGAGTTCACTGCTCAAATAATACAAAATTTATCTCGAGCTCTCTCCCTCCCTTGGCATCTACACTGTCCTTACCAGCCCCAGGCCTCAGGAAAAGTTGAGCGCGCCAACAGGGCTCTAAAAGACATCCTTACTAAACTATCTCTGGAACTTCACCTTGACTCGATTTGCCTTTTACCCCTAGCCTTGTTCAGACTCAGGTCCTCCCGGAGGAATGTAAGGCCCCATAGAAGACCCCAAAGGAGGCACTCCCTAAAACATGGCGCTTTTCTCTTCCGGGTCCTAACAATCTCACTGGCGCCAAGGTGCAGCCTATCAGAAATCATTACCCGCCCCCGGCCAATCAACTACCACCTCAGCTGAACTCTGGAAACACCAGGATTGGCTATTGCCTAATCCTACCTCCTCCCAAAATACCCTTTACCCGCCCCCGGCCAATCAACTACCACCTCGTGTACTAACCACCCTCTCCCGGAACCCGGCTCTATATAAATGTATGCTTCTCCCCCAAATAAAGCGGAACTTCTCTGGTGAACCGTCAGCTCGGGTCCTGTTGTCCTTTCAGGAGGGAAGACAGGTTGGGAGAGACACGATTTTCATCCTATACCCTGTGTACTTTTGGGAATTTGTATTTTGTGCATTTATGATCTTAAAATAAAGGAAACATTCATTTGAAGATAAGACTTGAATAACTGGTTAACCATTTAGAAAAATGTTAAGGAGAGCCCATCCCAAACCATACACATAAAATGTTCCAACTAGATTCAAGATTTAAGTGTAAAGTGAAATTCTAAAAATCCTACAGACACTTCTTTTCTTACTGTCAGTTTGAATTCTTGCACACTAGATTTCAGTCCTCCTGCCTTAGCAGTGGCCCTGCTCTCCCGTGGCCCAGATGTTGCCAGGCTCCCACTTCTGCCCTGATGACTCTGGAATGAGGGCTGCAGCTCCAACACTCACTGAGACTGAGAGCCATAAGTCGGCCTCGCTCCTGGCCTCCTCCACCTAAGCATCCCCCAGGCGTGCAGAACTCCACATCTGCCAGGATGAACTCACCCACCTTCTCCCCAACACCCCACCCAACCCCTGCGCCCCCTCCTGGATATCCACCAAAGTGACAGCCACAGCCAATAGTCCCCCCAAGCCAATACCTAGAAGCTGCCCCCTTCGCCCTTCCCACTCCCACAAGGCTGGCATGGGGGTTGGGGCTTGGGTCTGCAGCCCGTGTGCTGGGCTTGAATCCAAGCTCTGACTCTCAGTAGCTGTGTGACTTTAAGCAAATGACTTCACTGTTCTTGCCCTCAGCTGTCTCCTCTGTAGACTGGGGAGAATAACAGCACTCACCTTAGAGGTGTTGAAACGTGGTAACTTTAGTGAATTACCATGCACAGTGTGGACAGTGTCTGGAATTTACTAACGCTCTATAAATGTTAGCTACTTATCATCATGATTGATTTTACTCAGTGAAGCCCAGGTCAGGCCTCTTCCTCATCAACTGATTCCTCCTCCTGGGTTCTCGGCTGAATCCATGTTCTGGCTCCTTTCCCGCCACCCAGTAGCACTTATTGAACACCAGCTGTGTTCTTTGCCTTGGGGGAGGGGACCCATTAACCTGTCATGTCCCCTCCTGCCCCTGGTGGACAGGCTTGCCAAGTGCCCAGTGTCCTTGTCTATGCTGGTGTGTGCGAGGAGCTGGGCTTAGGTGATTAACAGAGTATGGAGCCACAGGCCGCTCTGTCCCTCAGAGGGCCTGGCCTGGGGACAGAAAACACCTCATTGTATTGGTGTTTGATGTATTTTAGAAAATTTCCCCAAGGTGATCTAGCAGCACAGATAACGGTCTGTGGGTAAGACAGTTATTGACATGTTACTTAAGAGAGGGAGGTGGCAGGGTGGAGCTCTGGCAAGGATCCAGATGGCCTAGGGACTTGCTGTGTGATCCCAAGCTGGTGATGTCACCTCTCTGCGCATAACTCAGGTCCCTCATCTGGGCCCTCATGGGGCAGAATGGATTCAGATAAAATCAGTGGAGAAGAGACCATTCTGTTGCCCTCTGGGAGCAAGTAACTGAACAGCCCTCAGACAGAAATGAAGCCAGCATTGCTGATAGACAGGCCTGGGCCACTTCCACTTGAGCCAGTTTCAGCTTCTGCATCTCTGACCAACTGCCGTCCCAGGCACTAGGGTGTTGTTTTCCTTGGACATGTTAATATTTGTCAAGTACTCACTGTATGTGTTGTGCTGTTGTGAGCACTATATATAGCTCATCCTCTCAACAAGCCATGAGGAAGGTACTATTATCCCCATTTTACAGATGAGGAAACTGAGGCACACAGAAGTTTTATAACTTATCACTAGAGGCAGAGCTGAGAGTAAAGCTCAGGCAGTCTGGCTCCAGATCCTAAGCTCCTAACCTCTCTCCTCCACAGTCTCGGTGCTTGATGAACGCCTACCATGGCCCAGAGCCCATGCAAACGTTGTCTCATTTAACAATCACAATAACCCTCAAAGGTGAGTATTATCTGCATTTTGTGGCTGAAGAAACTGAGGCTTAGGAAAACGACATGACCATGACCTCACTAAGGTCAGTTTGTAAATGGCAGAATTCGGATTCAGGCCCAGGTCCGTTTGACTGCAAACCCTGCGTTTCTCCATAACCCCACATAGCCCCATTCAGCACCTTGGCCTTGGCCCTATGCATGAACTGCCTCCAGCTAGTCAGCAGGTGTCCTGCAAGCCTGGGTGGCCCACAACCAATTAAACTCCCCTAAACTCCCCCTGACAATTGTGGGTTTCATATAGGGAATTGCACTAAATATTAAAGAGGTCGTTCCTGGATTCTGACTCCACTTAGCCTCCTGAGAGTATGCTCATTGGGCTGTGCATGTGACCAGTGGCTCCTGCCTGGAACAGTGTGGCCAGGCTGGAACAGACCTAGCATGGAGAGTCAGAGCACCCAGGCCCTGGGAGTGGGAGTGGTCCCTGACTGCATCCCCCTCCCCCACTCTGACAGCCTAAGCTGTCTAAGCGGACACAGGCGTCCACACACACGCACACAGGACTCCCCTCTGGACGGTCCCTCACGCACCCCAACCTCAAGACCCGCCCGCCAGTCCTCTAGGCTCAGGGGCAGCGGGTGTTCATGCTTGTCCGCCCACCCCGGAACCAGTCTCAGCTCCGTCAGGGCTGGGTCGCACCACAGAAGCCCAAGGCGCACACTCGGAGCCCTAACTCGCCCCACACGGAGACACCGTCACTCCCCGAACACAGCCCGTCACCGCAAGCCCCGCCCCGCCCCGAGGCCCCGCCCCACGCACGCCCCGA